TAATTATAAATTTATAATAGAGTTATAATTTATTTAATATAATTTCAAGCCATTAAGTAACTAAGTAAGAGTGTAAGACAATTTATAAAAAAAATTCAACGCTTAGAGCCTTTTATTTTATTAATAGAACTTTCAAATCTCACATACAAATATAATTCTTTTGAAGAGCACCTAATCTACGCAGCCACCTTCTAGGAAGGGTTCTGTTTGAACTAGGCCTCTTAGTAGCCAATTACAAATTATCATACTAATATTTGTAAGCTCCTATATAATTTCGTTATAACTTATCTATAGTTTCTCTCGGACATTATTTTGAAATTGGCAATGTTGATTGATGTTCCATGAGTTCCATGCCGTCATCGCTCCCAGTGCTAAGTATCTCATTGTATTCTTCTTCTTCCCTAGTGGTTAATTTTTCAAAATCAAGATTTCTTCTTTCTGAATTAATCCAATCTCTGAATAATACGGAAATCTCTAGGCTGTCCTCTGCTAATGAATGTCTATGATCTCCGATTTGAAATCTTGCCGCGCTAAAAGCACTCTCCGATGCTACTGATGATGCTTGAATAGCAAGGATATCTCGGGCCATTATTGAAAGTGTTGGAAAAGTCTTGCCACGCTCCCTCCACCATGCCAAAAGTTGTTCGTTGCCTTCTTCGTCTTTAATACTTTCCAATCCTTGATTAAGATAAGAATCAAGTTCATCATCAATAGAGGAATCAAAACCTGTTATATCATCCATATCTTCCCATAGAGCTTCTACTCTAGGCTTAGAAGTAGAAGGAGCAGTTTCACCACCTGTTGTTTCCATAGATTTATATTTATCAAACATTGATCTAACATAAGAATATATGTTAGCTTGACAGTCTTCGAGAGATGGTTGTTCATTTTCTTGAATTGCTAAATTCTCATAAATTTTATGAACAAGTCCCTTTGCACCTCTTAATTTTAAAGATGAGTTAAGTATAGTAGAAATTAAATAAACTTGGGGAATAGGGAAAAAATACTTTTTAAATTTTGCAATCATTTCATTAATAGCCGGTGCATAAGTTGGATTAGTTTTATACTTACCAAATACAATAGAACATCTACAAATATACCATAATAATTGTGTAACATTAGGATAATATATACCAGAAAATTATTTTGTAACATAATAAATTTTTTCTAAAACTTTAGTAAGCTCTTTGATATGATCCCAATGAGAATCAACAATTTGATCAGCGGGGATACCATTATGCAATTAAATACCTTTTGTGTAGGCACCCGATAATCATAAGCAACTTTAAGCATTTCATAAGTAGAATTCCACCTAGTACAAACATCTTTTGGAACTTTTCTATATGGAAGGTTAGCACTAGCACATTGTTGAGCAAATTCACGAATTCTACTCGCTTTATTAGCACGAAAAATATAGCTGCAAGCATGTTGTACTTTACTACAAGCATCAGAAAATAAATCAATACCATCTTTTACAACCAAGTTAAAAATATGGCATGCACATCTAACATGAAAAATTGCTGGATTAATTGGACAAAGTTTAGTTCTTAAGCTAGTTGCTGCAGTTGTGTTAGCAGAAGCATTATCTAAGGTGATATTTAAAACTTTATCAATGAGTCTATAAAAATCAACAATTTGTAGAACAGTAGTTGCAATATATGCTTCAGTGTGTTTTGAATCAACAAATTTATAACCAATAATACGTTTTTGCATGTTCCAGTAATGATCAACCCAATGACATGTAACAGTTAAATAATCACAACCATTAGGACTACGACCTATATGAGATGTGATAGACACTTTACAATCTAAGTGAAAAAATACACAATGAATATACTGAAGATATTCGGTTTGAAATTTAAAACATCATTTCTAACCGTGGTATTAGGAAAACCTTGAAAAGCAGGATTATAAGTTTCTTGTATATAATGCACAAAAGCAGGGTGAGAAGGAAAAGTAAAAGGTAAGCCACAGACAGCCACCATTTTTGCTAAGTTCTCACGATCTCTATCTTTGTTATAGGGGAGTAAAATAGTACCAGAAGCATGGTCAATTTGTTGTTGTAAAAAATTAGAACCCCCGCCAGATCCACTAGGCGTGCCAGTACCGGTGCTAGGATCCGCTATTAGTCCGACTTCTATTTTAGCTTGTATCCATAAAGCTTTGTGCTCCCTACCTAAGTGCCTAGTTACACCCCCCGTCACACCATTTTTGGTGTGCACAAAGTTTTGCTTACATATTCCACATGTAGCACATTGATTGACTTTATCATGTTTAAAAAATTTTCATACAAGTGATGTTTTGGGACGTTCACCCTTAGGGCTTACCCCTTACAGGAGGTACAAGGGGTAAAGCTCCAGACCGAGATTCAGTCTGAGTTGGAGCTTGTGTTGCGGGACTAGTGGGTGTTTCATCTAAATCTTCTTCCTCATTTTCTTCATCCTCATTTTCTTCGTCTTCAATAAAAATATCATTGCCAAATTGTCTTTGTAAAGTTTTATGATCTAGTTGTTCTCCGAAATTAATATTATAACATGCGGGGGTTGGTAAAATGAAGTTTCATCAATATGAGTCATTTCATCTATATGATTTCTAATTCTAGGAGAAGGGTTAGGATTAGGATTACTGCTACTTTCACATTTACTACTTTTTTTACTAGTTTTTTTAAAGCCAAATACATTTTTAGGTGCCATAATTTAAATATAAAATTAAATTTAAAAAGTTAACACAAAAATTAAACACACAAATGAAATACGAAAATAGAACACATAAAGTAAACACAAAAATTAAGCACTAAAATGATATGCAAAAATTATATATTAAAATTAGCAGATGGAACGAGTGCACCGTGATTAAATATTGAAACTTTAAGAAATTGCCCAAAATATTGCTCTAAATACTTGACGAATTAATTTGAAACTTGAAAGTTGCTCCAAAAATTTGCCCAAATACTTGAAACTCACTTGATAGTTGATAGTGAGAAAATTGAGAGAATAATATAGATAGAATGTAAGAGATTTGAGAGAGAATGATTGATTTTTGTGAGAAACAATGAAGAAGGATGGGGGTATTTATAGTAGAAAATAAGGTCAAAGTGTAATTTAATAAACTTAGGGGTTATATTAAAAGTTTGGGGGTAGGGGTGGAGGCCAATTATAGCCGTTTTTGGCCGTTGGGAACGACTATTTTTGCAATTGAAGTCGTTGCCCAACGGCTAGAATTTTAAAAAAAATAAAAAAATAGGACGCGGGACAGGCGGGTCGGGACGGGACGGGACAAACGAGACGAAATGGGCATCCCGTCCCATCCCGTGTCCCGTTTAACATGGGCCTATCCCGTTTAGAATTTAGTGGGACGGGACAAGACGGGACGGGACCAGGACGAGACGGGACGGCCCGTCCCGTTGGACAGCCTTAGAAATAGTGCAGCCAAGTCGAGTAACTGGAGCTAGTTTTGGGAAAGCCACAGCTACTGATAGGCCAATTTACTCTTCTGAAGGATCAATGCATTGGCTTGAAGAAATCCCTAGTTTTCTACAAAGGCAGAGCTGCAAAAGGCATTAAAACTGACTGGATGATGCATGAGTTCAGGATTTTCAAGAAAGCAAACTCCATTGCACATAGAGCTCTTTCTCATTCTTGGGTGTCACCAACAGTACCTGAAAACACTACATCAGATCATTTTCTAACCAGCAGCCATTTTACTAATTATTCAAATAAAATTTCATTGATAAACAAAACAAGTCCACCTATCCAATTTAGTGGTTTTAGCATTAATGAATAATTTTCCTTTTAATATGGTTGCTGATGCTTGGAAGACGAATTTGCTTTGGGATTCTTCTCCTTGTCCTAGTGGTGAAATATCCACTAGTTATTCTAATAACAAGTGTTACACTTGACCCTTAGCTAAATAGTGTTTTGTTTTTTAGTTTCAAGTACTTTAGCTTTTGTTTTCTTACTTTTGAATTTTGTTTTGTTTTCTTTTTGGGGTACTTTTGGAGTTAGTTTTAGTTTTGGATTAGTGTTGTAAAAACTCTAATGTAGGTTTTTCAATTGATTCATGAATCAAATCGTTTTAAAAAAACAGGAGAGATGGTATTCATGTAAAATTACTAAATATAATATTTTAAAATACTTTTTGTCATGCATAACTGACATTGATTTTGTTGTATTAGGCTGAAAATAGCATAGAGCCTACACGAGCACAAGTTTTTATTTTAACTCATAAACAACGTAGGGATGGTCGACCACTTGATGATGAGTCTTCAAGGACAATCGTAAGATTTTTTTCTCTATCTTTTAATTTTTGAATTTCATCTGTTTTAGTTGAATTCAGGTTCAGCGATTTTGTTTGCATCTTGTTCCTCCAAAATACCTCCTCCTAATCTAAAGGTATTTCTTTTTAGCAATTATTTGTTGTTTCTGAATGGATTTACTTTCTTTGATAACCCTCTCTAATCAGGACATGATAAATGAAAGATTGAGGAGTAGTAGTGAGAGATCGAATGACCAGCCTCCTTACAGTGTTACTTGAAAAGGAGATGCATATTCTCAAGTGTTGGGAAATGAAAAAAGTGGGTATGTTCGAGGTTTGTAACTTGGTCCAACTCCTTCGATACTGTGGGGTGGTAAATCTTCCATAGAAAATATTGTTCCAGAGGATTTGTCTAATGATGTATGAAGGTTAGAATAAAAGATAATAGAGTTAACAGAGTTAACGAAAAACAAAATGAAGAAATGAGTTTGATGAAACAAGAATTATTATGGATGAGACAAGTCATGTGCAAAATCGCTCCTAATGAGTTGTCGTCGCAGAATATCAGTCGATTCTCAACTGAACAAGTAACTCAACTTCCAAAGATTAAGATATTTTTTCAGAAATTTTGATCTTATGAATTAATGTTATATAACATGCTAATATTAATCAGCTCCCTGATGCCAACAGTGACCATGAACGAGTACCACAAGCGCAACGAATGCATAGTGTTAGTGAAAATACTCTATCTTCTCATGGTATGCTCTTGTATTAGAATTCGTTAACATCTTACTTCTTTATTAAGTTGTGCTCAATATTCCATAGATTGTGTTATGTACCAGTTTGATTATATATCGAGTCGTTAAGGAATAGTGAACATTTTATTCTTAAGTTAAGTTTCTGTAAATCCATCTAATATTTTAGTAACTTGGTTTGGCCATAAATTAAAGACTGATCATTGTGAGCCTCTTACTGCTTCTCCTTCATCTTATGTTTTATAGCAGAAGATGGTGCTGGTTTTGGGTAGTCTTGTGGTTAGAGGTAGTACTAGTTATTCGAAGACAATTCTTTTTTTCCCTAGTCAATAGTTGGTATTTTTCTATTGAAGGTATGTATGATTTGGTCTATTTGGGGATATTCGAGGTCCATCAGACAAATGTTTGAGCTGCTTTCAGTTTGGTTATGTATAGCTGTTTTGCCGATAATTTTTCGTTATGCATTTTTTTGACAACTAGCTTGCAGTTTGCTCCAGTGTAATTTCTTTTGAGAGCTGGAATAGTACTTATTTTGTTGCAATTTTTGTTGAATTTCTGATTTTTTATTATCAATTGAACTGGTTGAAGTTGTAGCTACTTTGACATATTTTATAGGCAAAATGGCCTCGTGGCCACTTAAACTTGCACCCAATTACCAACCCGGTACACAAACTTATATATTTCCCATTTGAACACTCCAACTTGACAGATTGAGTACTAAGAAACACATCCNAATTCAATATCCCCTGCCACAAAAATTTAAAGAAAGAAAAAGAAAGGAGCAATGACCAGAAAAATTTCTTCGGCACCATCATCGGAGATTTTCTTTTGCCGACATTGAATTGTGAGGATAACCTTTTCTATCTTTCTTCTTCTGCATTCTTGTACTCAATTGAACAGAAATTAATCCTTCTCAAGTAAAAATTAATAATGGAAAGGGGATGGGGACGAGATGGAAATGGATCACTGGGGGATGAGGACGAGATGAAATTGGATCACTGGGGAATGGGATATGAAACTAAAGAAATGGGGATAAGGAAGGAGGACGAAGTGGGCCGGGAGAAACAGAGGAAGTTTTAGTTTTTTTCTTTTTTCTTTTTGTTATCTTTTTATTATTTATATTTTTTAAAATACTTCTTCCATCAAAGTATTACACTCCCACGCTTTTTTAGTGTGGTGTGCACACAATTTGGCCATGTGAGCTATGTTGCCTCCACATAGGCATGGTCAACGGTCAAAGTGGTTTATTAGTTAACAAATATCGGAGTTAGAGTGTTCAAATGGGAAATGTATAAGTTTGTGTACCGGGTTGGCAATTGGGCGCATGTTTAAGTGGCCACGAGGCCATTTTGCCTATTTTATATATAGACTCACGATTTTTTCTGCTTCACATTTGATTTTATTTTTTGACATTCACTTATTTTATTATTTCAGGTTATGCAACGAGTACCAAAAACATTAAGGATACCTACTGTTGCTGAAAATGCTTCACTTTCTCACGGTACATCTTTATCCTTTAGCGCGCTACTGTTTGAGTTTTTTACTGTTTGAATTTTCCTCCAATTTATTTTATCACTAGAATCTGGTTTCATATACCCAAATGCTTTTGCCTTAACTGCTTTTTGCTACTAGTTGTTGTTCTCACTGCTGCTGCTCTATTACTCACATCGTTATTACTCTTGCTCTCAAAAATTTCTTTTACCTTTGTTTAGTTTTGTTGGTTATTAGCCAAAACAGAACTCTGTTTGTTGACCTGGGGTTATTCAAATCAAGTATTAAACACATTAGCATTGACTGGGGGACCTTGAATTCCTCTGGAAACTTGTGCGGAGTGTAAGTTATTAATATGGATATGGGTCAAAAGAACATGCTTCCCATATGGTAAATCTAATTACAAGTGCAAATCTAATACTTCTATCCACAATATAAACATTGCTGTTAGAACAAAGTAACCAGCCAAACAGAGTTGTCATCAGCCGTCTTAAGGCCTTGATTCCGAGAATGCTGTAAAGATCCAGCAAATGGCATTAGCCAAACTGGCCTAACTATTTTTCTGTAACTAGTAAATATGCTTATCTGTGAGCCGAGCATCAGATATTGTAGTTTGGTACACAAAATGACATGACTACCAATAGGCAATAGTCTTTACAAGAACACTGCCCTTTACTGAAGCAGTGGAATCGATTACTATCCCTTACAATAATCTCCCTTCCCTCCAACTTTGAAATGATTTTGATTGCTGTGTGCACAGTTGGTATATACGCACACATTTGGTAAATCCATATACAGATGGTATATACGCACACATTTGGTAAATCCATATACAATTGGTATATACGCACACATTTGGTAAATCCATATACAATTGGTATATACGCACACATTTGGAAGTGCAAATCTAATTGTTCACTGAAAGTGCACAGTTGGTGTATAAGCACACATTTGGTAAATCCATATACAATTATTAGGAAGTAGAAGGAAATATAAGCATCATACTTCTATTGGTAATTCATCTTATTGGGAGTAAATGGAGCTCTTCATATGAGCAGAATATTTAGTGCAGAACTACAACTTCTCCTTAAGTGAAATCCCTCCAAATCTTGCATAAAGTTTATATGTTTTTGCTGTCTACAATGGTGTGATTATCTCTGTCTTGCATTCCTCTTATATTTAGTGATGGCTAGTAGAAAAAGAAGATTTGCTTGCATGCGTACATGTACCGTGCTCATATATTTCATGTATTGACGTAGTTATTTTATAATTTCAGGTCATACAGTCTGATGATCGATAATTTAGCGGGTCGAAGATTTCAATATGATGAAGAGTTACATAAATTATTTGAAGACTATTATTCGTTAGGATTAGTCATATAATGACATTAGCTATTTACTTCAAACAATATAAGTTTATTTTTAAGTTACTGTGATATTAATATTTTGGATTAGTACTGTCTTTTATTTGTTAAGATTTAATGAGATACATTATGTTTTTATGAATTATTATTAATATGTTTTGTTATTTGGATCATCTTTTGAACGGATGTAGTATTATTAATGATTGGTAAACAATTGCCATTATAACTGGTGACTTTTAGCGACCGTTTAACAGGATTTACCAGTTATAAAAATGGACGACAAAAGGGCAAATTACGATGTTTCCATAGAGGATATTGTAGCCATTATAATTTCTGTTAAAGATGACTTTTAGCGGCAATTTAATTGAATTTACTAGCCATTAAAATAGATGCTAAAAGGGAATACTAATACGTTTTTCAGAAGGGATATTATAGCCATTTTAATTGCCACAAAACAATTACCGCTAAAAGTATGCACTTTTAGCGACAATCTTTTTAAATTTATCGGCTATAAAAATGGACACTAAGAGATCATTAGTAGCCGTTTTATATTGGATTTAGCAGCCATCATAATTGTCGCAAACAATTGTCGTTAAAGCAAATGATATTTAGCGGCAATATGTCATCCCTTTTACCAGCTTTTGTGATAATCGCCACTAAAGGGTTTGCCGACCCCAATTTCATCGGCTAATAATAAATGGCCGGTAAATGATATAGCGGCGATTGTTATTGCCGCTAAAGCCCCTTTTTGTTGTAGTGCGAAACACACCCGAGGCCCCCGATACCCCGTCCAATCATACAAACCAGTCCCATAATGTAACACAAACTTTCTCGAGACCTCAAATCCCATCAAACAACATCAAAATCATGAATCGCACCCCAATTCAAACTTTAATGAACTTTGAAACTTCAACTTCTACAATCGATGCCGAAACCTATCAAATCACGTCCGATTGACCTCAAATATTGCACACAAGTCACATTTAACATTACGGACCTACACCAACTTCCGGAATCGAAATCCGACCCCGATATCAAAAAGTCCACTCCCGGTCAAACTTCTCAAAATTATCCAAATTTCCAACTTTCGCCAAATGACCCCTTAATGATCTACGGACCTCCAAATCCACTTTCGGACGCGCTCCCAATACCGGAATCACCATACGAAGCTATTCCCAGACTCGGAATTCCAAACGGACATCGATAACATTGAAATACACTTCAACCCAAATTTATGGAATTCTTCTAAAATGCTAACTTCCACAATAGGCGCCGAAACGCTCCCGGGTCATCCAAAATCTGATCCGAACATACGCCCAGGTCCAAAATCATCATACGAACCTGCTGGGACCTTCAAATCCCGATTCCGAGGTCGTTTACTCTGAAATCTAATCTTAGTCAATTCTTTCAACTTAAAGCTTTCGAAATAAGAATTTCCTTTCCAATCCAACTCTGAACTTCCCGAAATTCAATTCAGACCATACACATAAGTTATAATACCTGAAGTGAAACTTCTCATGGCCTCAAACTGCCGAACGACGCGCTAGAGCTCAAAACGACCGGTCGGGTCGTTACATTTACGATTAGATTTTTTTTAAAGAGTACAAAAAAAGTTAGTTTATTTATTTTATTCTTGATCTTCCCGAATTACATATGATACGTAGGCAACCCACATCAGGTTCGACCGAATCATCTAAACAAAAAAAAAAGAAAAAAGTGAAAGAAAAAATAAAAAAAATAAAAAGAGTGTTTATTCTAACATGTTTGTTGTTTTGAAATAAAAGCTAGTAAAAGGTGGTCGGTTTGACGGTTTGCAATGGCAAGTCACAGAAACAATCCACGATCCTTCAAAAATTAAGCAACATCTCAACCAGTGGAACAAGTACCATTGTTGTTGATCCATCCAAGGTCATAAAAAGGCAAGTAAACAAGTTGTGGTGAAAAATCAAAATGGAAGGCAAATGTTGGTTTGACTTTACCAGATTTAAGTAATAGGACATGCCCTGCTCGGGATGATTTTATGATGGGGAGACATGATAATTCTTCCAAGTCCTTTGGTAAATAAGTTGTTTTGAAATTTCCCATGCCATCAGTACTGAAATCCGACAGCCAATATTTTGAACGGTTCGGTCAAAAAATCAAAATTTGAGTGCTGAATCAAAAGCAATAAAAATGATTGAATGCTGTAGTAATGCTGATGTGGAAATTTGTGGCTAAGATATCGCTTAGCAACTGGAAAGTCACTCCTCTTTTAGCCAGGGAGGAGTCTTGGTAGCTTATTTTATCGTCTTTTATGTTATCTGGGTTATCCAGAGTTGTTATCCAGATTTCAGTTTGTTTGTCTTGTCGTCAAATCCTTCTATCCGTTATTCAATGAAATACAGTTTGTCCTTTTGTGCCATTCTATGCTTAGTTTTTCGCCGCTAGTTCTAGTGACATGACATGCATGCGAAATTTTTGTCCAGATCCTAGAAAATTGATTTAGTATTGAATTGATAACTGAGAAAAAAACACTTTTGAGGATGAATAAAGAGTCAAAATACTTTGGAATTAAGCTCGAGTAAAATTCATGTGGAACTAGAATAGTCATACCCATGGAGGTTAATGATCTTTACCTTCAAATCATTGTGAATGTCGGGTTTGAGGAAGAACCAATTGAAGTTTGGTGAAAAGTTTGATATTAATGGATGGAAAGTGTCTTTCGACCACGACACACCAAGAAAACAGACATGTTCATCAATGTTGTGACCGCGAAAAGATAGCATGATTGGCCATTCTCGAAGCTAGGAGGCCCTTTTTCTGCTTCCCACACACTTTATACCCTTTGTTACCCCTTTTGAGTCTGTATTATTTTCTTTGACCACCCTCTTTTGGAATCAAGTTTAGAGTCAAAAGTTTAAAAAAAAAATATGAAAAAAAATGAAAAGAAAAAGAACAGTCAAAGGTCCATGCCCCCAGAAAATAAAAGTTGGGGCAACTTGTTTTGAAAACAAAAAAAAAAAATAAGAAAAGAAGAAAAGAAAAAAAAAGAAAAAAAAAAGACAAAGAAAAAGAAAGAAAGATGAAAAAAATTAGTTAGGTCACATGTTTGAACTACGTTTGACCTGATTCCTTAAAACAGAAGGATACGTAGGCAGCCTTACATGGTTCGGTCCAACCAAATACGAATTCACAAAAACAAAATCCAGTATCTAAAACTGGGGCATGAGTTTGTTTTAGTTTTTGAAAGAGTCGATTCCAAGAATTGTAAAGTATATGACCCCCATCATTGAGTCTTTTGAACTTTCATACCGTCCTTTATTTCTAACCATATCCAAAAGCCTTCCAAATAAGACCTCCTGATCAGTTTTGAGAATGCCAAGGGAAATTCGCAATGAGCAATGTTTGTCATATGAAGGACATGGTCATGGTTCTCACTCAAGGAATCAAGAAAAAAAACAGAAAAAGAGAAATGATGAGAGAGTCTTACTAGTGAAAACCCTCACAGGAACTGTAAGACGACGATAAGTAGAGATAAATAAATGAGAGAGACTAATTGGTGAAAACCTCTTGGGGCACCACTAGCCGAAAGTGAGTCGTGAAACTGATGCAAAGAATTAACACAAATAAGCTCGACTTCAAAGCCCGAAGAAATAACTAAAGGAATGATTAGATCAGTTTGATAGATCAGGCTGGTGAGTCCAAAATGCATGTCACGATCATTAAGGCTAGTTACCTCATTTAAAAAAAATAAAAAAAATAAAGCCTCTTCCTTCTTTATAAAAAAAATAAATTCTCTTCTTTCTTTCCTGACTTAGGCATCTCTTGTTAATATTGTTTCTTCGCATCATGATGTCATTTGCTTTGAATCAGTCCTTGTCAAAACAAGCAAGAAAAGATTTCAAAATCTGCTACTAGCTTTTCAGTTGCACAAAGTAGATTTGGCCAGCACACTCAATTGTTACAGTCAACATGTCTTGAGGATTCGTGTAATACGAAGGTTTCCCCCAAAAGATGCTCATGCCGGCTCATTTGTCTAAGGCAAGCAAAGAAAAATTGCAAGGTTAGGTTTTCTGTAGTACTGAATAGAGACTATAAAGTGTGTATATCACGCAAAAGGTGCATACCCAGTTGCGATTCTCTTTGACAAACAAATTGCTCAAAAGGCAAGAAGTCATTCAAGATATCAGAAAAGGTCACCTAAGCAAAGATCTCTATTTGGAATAAGGCCTGATTGATCCACAAATACAAATGGTATTGGGTGTGAAACAACCAGGGTTGATACAGAGCAAAAGTCTCTTGAAAGCAACAACAAAGTCTCCCAGTAGTGCATCCAACTACCAATACTGTCGGTCTCCCAAAAGCGAATGGGCACAAGGCCAAGCTGCCAAAGACATCAAGGCCATAAACCGATCACCACTTTTGAAACTCACAAAAATTTTCTTTATTTGAAACATGAACAAAGCAGTGCAAAGAAGGTGGTTCAAAAAAAAGAAAAAAAAAAGAGAAAAATAAAAAAAAATGATGAAAAAAGAAAAGAGAAAAAAAAAGAGCAGTCAAAGGGAAGTTTCTCAAGTCTTTGCATTTATTTGTCTTTCTAGTATGCATAAAATCATGCTATTATTCTTCACGTTTTCCTCCTAGGGTAATACATCCTAGTCTGATGGATTTTTCTCCCAATAAAAAAATCTTAATATGATGAATCTTTCTCCTAAGATAAAAAGACCTAGTCTGATAAATTTTCTCCTAGGATAGAAGTCTTAGTCTAATGAATCTTTCTCCTAAGATAAATAAAACCTAGTCTAATGAATTTTCTCCTAGGATAGAAGTCTTAGTCTGATGAATCTTTCTCCTAAGATATAAAAACCTAGTTTGATGAATTTTCTCCTAGGATAGAACTCTTAGTCTGATGGATCTTTCTCCTGAGATAACAAAAAAATGACCTAGTCTGATGAAATTTCTCCAAAGATTGAAGTCTTAGTCTAATGAATTTTTCTCCTAAGATAAGAAAACCTAGTCTGATGAATTTTCTCCTAGGATAAAAATCTTAGTTTAATGAATCTTTCTCCTAAGATAACAAAAAAAAGACCTAGTCTGATGAACTTTCTCCTAGGATCGAAGTCTTAGTCTGATGAATTTTTCTCCTAAGATAAGAAAACCTAG